TTTCGCACTGCAGCAAGGTCCTCCAGATGTCACTACAGGACAGCAAAGTGACTTTATTGTGAGGGTCACCTCGGTTGCGATGAGAAAGACGGTTGTGACGTGACCCAAATAACGTAACCTTAATCACTTTCACTTGATTGCAGGGAGTTCGGCGTTTCGTTATGATGCCACCATTTTCCACTGTGATGGATGGTCACATGGCTGTGATAGAGGCGTAAGACCGTCTCGTGTCCCTCTCACATACCATTCCGCAGTTTGGCTTGTCGCTGACTGAGGGAGAGATTATTCACTGTCAGCAAAGTTTTGAAGTTCTGTGTACTGAATGAGATTTGAAGTTTCCTGATGGCGGGAGCAGCAGATTCCTCCCAAACATTGGAAACGACCGAAGAAACTAAGCTGTGTCATAGCCCATAGCCCAGAGAACTACGATCGTAACCTTCTGTACTAGTCCCTTTGTAACACTTGCAGAATTTATTTGTTCCCTATCTACAGGTGCGCTCTGCGATTCTCTTGGAACCTTGGCCTTATTTACGACGTACGTCAGTCTATAGTTTTACTTTCCTTTTGCATCCACCTCTTCATTTTCAGCAATCGTAGATCATTCTCTGCATCTTCTAGCCGTCTCAGTCTGGGCCTTTTCCCACTCTACCATCTGGTGTGCTTTTAAGTATTTTATTAGAGGCCATTGTTTGATCAGTCCTAATCACATGGCCCCAGCCACTCCATGCCGTCTCCTTTTAATTTCCTTACCAGATGTAAAATACTCTTTTAACGATAACGAGGATAGTTTCGCGTTATTGAGTTTCAAAAACCGCTCTAATTTTTCGATCACGCAGTAATTACTTTGCGTTCCCTCTTCAGGGAGGAGGTGAAGTTCCACGAATGCGTTTGCCATTAAGTCAAGAATCTGTTGTCGTCCCGCCTGCTGCCTAAAACCCTGTATATACTCGTAAAAATACACGGACATATAATGTTGCCCATTGTTTTGTATGAGTGTGAAACTTCGCAGGTTAGTCTCACCTTGAGGAAAAAACACTTAGAGCACAGGGTGATACAGAAAAATATTCTGCCCTAAAACAAAATAAGTCGGAAGAGAATGGAAAAATTACATAAGTAGAAGCTTCATGATTTGTACCGCACACCACGCACGGCAATGAGAAATGGATAAAGAAAATATTAGAGTACCGTAAATGGAAGAGCCCACTTGTGAAACCTAGGGCGTAGTCGGAAGGATAATATTAACATGGATATTAAAGTAGTAAAACGTCTGGGTGAGGATTGAATTCAGCTAACGTAAGGTAGGGTCTGGTGTCCCGCTTCAGTAATGAAATTCGGGACATTCTGTGAAGAGCTGGGCGACTGTCAGCATCCAGAGTGGAAGAACGCTCCGTGTGGAGTTACATAAGACAGTAACCTGTAAACGCTGTCACAGCACACGTCATTGTCACATTGCCTGTCGACACACATTTACGCAATACGAAGATTGTTGTCGTTTAATTGTACCAGTGATTGAGGTTATGTATTGGTATTCAGGAAATGCGAAGGCTTTACTGGCGAGTAGGACCAGTTTGACCAGACGTTACGCAGTAGAGTTATTAGCAAACTTCCCTCAAAATGGCAATGTAAAAATGAGATTTCGCTGTACCACTTGCATCTGCAGTACGTAACGCTAGAATGTCATCTGCTGACTCTCCTGATGAAGTGGGGCGCTCTCTCCAAGTGAATAGAAAGGTTTAAAGTTCCCTCCCGCGTCCCTAACCCATAAAAACGACTTAAAATGTGACTTAACAGTTCCAAAAATATAATTGTTAGAGAACTTTAATCATATACATGAAGTAGTTCCTATTAATTCTATGTTCCTAATGTAATGCACCAGTTTGGAATTAAAATTAACTCAGCGCCTTTACATTCTCCACCGTGCCAGGTTCTCGCTTCGAATCCCGGTCGAGACAGCGCAGTATTTCTGATCTAACTTCTTTATAGTTTTCCTCAGTCCCTTCAGGCACATGTCAGGATATTGCCTCGATTAGGCCACAACCGTTTCCTTCCAAATCCTTCCCGTCACAAGTCATACCATTGGATGCTAGCCACTGACAACGTGGTTAAGTAGAGGGTTCGGAAGGCTCCCAGAGCCGTCAAGCAGTAGAAATGGTAATGAATCCCGTGGGGCTCGGAACCAAGAATCACTGTGCTGGCGAGGACCAGCAGAACAATTCACCGCCCCCTGAAGGGCCGCAGCTCCCATTTTGGGAAACTGTTTTAGTGGAATTATTTAAGAACCATCATCATCCTGTTTCCTTTCTTTCATTTTCTTCTCTGCTTCGTCTCAGTTCTCATCTTGCAGACGCTACCATGCAAAATAACAGTGATACTCCGTCGGAATCCATGTTGAATTGCCCCCCCCCGGTCCGTTTTTTGCGTTACGGCTTGAAACCGACTTCTCCATTGGTGGATGGATGATTGCGTGTTATCTGGTGGGGTCAACACATTATTGCAGTAGCTGAAGCGGGTCTCTCTGCTGCTGTGCACTGTCTCAGTTCGTTCCAAACGGATTCGAACTTTGAAGAATTTGTTGGCCATTCTGCGGATTTGACAAAAACGTTCAAATGCCATCCTGCACTTTTCTAACAGCGGCTAATATTAATGTAAAAATGCGTGCTTTCAATGTTCAAAATGAATATTTTCGTATGTAACGGATCAAAGAAACATCAATCAGACATTTTATACACATATATAAGTAGGTTCTACACAAATTACACAGATTCCATTCAGATCCATAAAGTTATTTTCATGTTTACAATATTGTTTTTAAAAAAAGCGTAATATTTGTGCGCCACATGATATAGGTAGACGTACACGCGCGCGTGGAAAGAAGCAACAGTGCTTTTAAAAACCTCCGTCTGAGATTACAGTCTCTTCACGTATAACCCTTTTAGCCACACTGGTCACTATATGTACCTTTGTAGATGACCTTCGCCTTAAGCGTTGAACTGTACAATAAAATTGGACTTATGGCTAAACCAAAGCAGTGACTGATCCGTAAGGTGTCATAAGATGTGAAACGCCAATGTTATTTTCCTTATACGTGAGTGAGGAAAAAGCGCACACACTCTCTGCTTCCGGCGAGTCGCGTGTTCCATATTTTCCTAGTAATCATCACTCTGTACATGTTTCAGGCAGAATCATTAAAACACCATCAAGCATCCTAAAATCCTACAGTTCGTGTAATGTAATAATAAAACAGAAGCAGCTTTGGGGGCGGAGGGGCATAAACGGCCTTCATATTTTGGCAGTCCGCCAAACAAACATCGACATTACCAAAAAGAAATTATCTTTCTGTTACGTCAGTGCGTGCCACACGATACTGTTACCAAGTTGAAACACATTGCCCGGCGAAACATATTGTGTCTGCAGAAATTATCTGCAGTTCCCGGCTGAAATGAGAGTCGGTTAGACATGTACGAGTAGCAACTTTTATACCGACGAGCATTAACAGCACACGGGTTGCTATATGTACCACTTGCATGTTGCCCACACTATGCATTTACATTCTTCATGTGAGTCTTAGGACAGTCGATGTCCATGCAGAGATTCGAACCGAGCACTTCCAGAATACAAAGCGAGACAAGCCTGCTGTCATATATTATTATATTGCGCCATATCTTCAACTACGTGTGCGGTCTGTCGGCCTTAAATGTCATTTTCAGTATTCATTTTATTGTATTAAATTTTACAGAATATTCGCGGGAAAGCCATTAGGAAAGAGACCACTGGGAAGACCAAGGCGTAGGTGGGTGGACAGTATTAAAATGGATCTTAGAGAGATAGGATGGGATGGTATGGACTTGATCGATCTGGCTGAGGATAGGGACGAGTGGAGGGCTCTTGTGAATATGGTAATGAACCTTCGGGTTACATAAAATGCTGGGAAGTTCTTGACTAGCTGCACAGTTGACAGCTTTTCAAGAAAGGCTCAGCTCCATGAATGGGTGAGTGAATTTTATATTTTTACTGCCTTTTTCTTGTCTTATGCATCTGTAACCACCGTGAAAATTAATTTAGGCAGTCTGCAATATTGTCTTTTCTGTGTATCTTGACACAGTCCCTTGAATTATGAAGAGCATTTTCATGCGCAGTGAACTCTTTATCATCGAACATGTTGCTATCGTGCTAATGCTCCGAACTTGTATTCACGACAATCTTGCTTCAAATCTCAGTGCACTGGCTGTCCACACTGGTTTGTTTGATTTTCCTCACTCCATCCAGGAAAAGGCTGGTATAGTAATTTGATTATGCCATGATCTCTTTCTTCCAAATCCTTTACATTTTGTCAGTCACTCTACCATTTGACGCTATTATGACAGCGTCAGAATAAACACATACAGACTCATGCTGAAACACATAAGTATTTGCCCAACCTCAAATTAGTTATAGTATGACAGTACTGTCCAGTTCTGCTAATTTATATGATACATATCTTTTATGGGCAGTTGCTACAGTGCATTCACATTAACTCCTGTCCCCTGTAGGCATTTATTTCCTGTCAGCACAGTCCTCTAAAATGAAGGCACTAAGTGGATGAAAAAACATATCACTTCTTTTGAGACTGTCACATATTTATTTATGGTTTACAGTAGTTCACATTGTATCGTGGAATAACAGGATGATTAGTGGATAATGAATTGGAAATGTGGAAGGAAGTTGTTGAGGTACTATGAAAAACATCTGTCATGATAGTCGGTCTCCAGGCAGAAAGTTTTACCCAGGACCTCCCTAATACAAAATACAAGCACTATTATCTACTTGATCCAAACAGTCTGACATGTTAAATACCCAGATGACACCAGTGTTGCAAACATAAGTCATGCAGTGAAACAGTAACAAAATCTCCCTAAAAGGGGGCAGCTGAATGGCCACCTTGGTATTCGTATGTGTCAGGATGGTTTCTTAACAGATATAATGGAAGTTAAATTATAAATTTGCTTTTATTATTTTTGCAGGTGGGAGCTGAAAGACAAGTGTCTTTTGACAATGGGCTGGACGGATCGGTTGCAGAGGACTGTTACTTTGCGATGAGGGCCTATACAGAGGGTTACTCGTTCAACTTCGTGGAGGGCGAGATGTGGGAGAAGTCACCTTTCTCTCTTTGTGACTTTGTTCAGCAAAGGAAGCGATGGTTACAAGGCATCCTGCTCGTCGTGCACTCAAAAGCTATTCCTTTCCGATACAAGCTTCTCCTCGGCATCTCATGCTACTCCTGGGTCACCATGCCCTTTTCTACGTCAAATGTTGTATTGGCTGCACTCTGCCCCATACCTTGTCCCCCTCTGATGGACTTTGTCTGCGCATTCATTGGTGCTGTCAATATCTACATGTATGTTTTCGGAGTCGTGAAATCATTCTCTCTGTATCGATTTGGTATGCTTAGATTCCTCTTATGTATATGTGGAGCACTATGTACAATCCCTTTCAATATACTTATTGAAAATGTGGCGGTTATATGGGGACTTTTTGGTCACAAACATCGGTTTTATGTGGTAAACAAGGAGAATAAACCGACTATAGAGAAATATATCGCCATCAATTCATGCTAAGAAACATCACAGAAGCCACGCCAGCCTGCTGTAAACTGTAAGAATAAGTGGCCGTTGTCCAGAAGAAGGTTGTAACTTATGGTGTATTATTTCTATTCCAGCAAGTTACTTCGTCCACTGATCTCAATAAAAAATGGAAGTAGACCACACCTTATCACAGTAACATCAGCTAATATATGTCAAGATAGTAAGCATTTAACATAGTACCGCATGTGATTAAGGATAGTGATCTTTCTGTGATCGCAGCATGCTTTACCTTAAGTGTCATTAATTCAAAAGAAGCAATTCTGCCTAGCATTTTAATGAGATGATGTATCACAAGATGCAGTGCATAGCCATACACTTTGCTCCACAGAAAGTGTATTGCAAGATAACATTGGATGTTCGGTCCAGTTCTCGCAGAAACAAAATCAAGGCTGGCGAGTCCATACTTTCAAGTGCAGCACACTACATCTCGGCACATGAGAGATCACATTTTCAGTTTCAGACAGGTTATGTCACCTTTCCATCATGTTCACAGTAGGATTGTTACTGTTTGATCCACATCTGTTTGCTGCTCTTCATACTCAAATACATGAAACTGTATGCTAGTTTAGTATTTCAAGAACCCGAGCCTCCATATGCCTCATATTGAGGCAGATATAGGTTTCTTGTCATTTGTTTCTGCCATCATAAATGAACAATTACAGATTCTTGTGTTAACTTGTTCTAATGTACACTGTCCTTATAATTTTGATACAAACTTATGTAGCATATTTTGGGGGGTTATTATTCATGTTTTAAAATAAAACAATATTCTTGATCGTTAATTTTCATGAATTTGCAAACTGAATCCAAAGTCATATATAAAAATTTAAATAATAAATAGCTATATACTAGTATTAATACTCTTATATCATATCATGCATGTAAATTGTATCAACTGTATTGCTGCTACGACCTTCAAGAACTGTCATTCTTCGCAGAATCATAAGTACCATGTTATTCACCATTTCAGAGTAAGACATTTCCATAACCATTTTGTTTGGAATGACTTCAGTTGCTAAAAGATTTTTTTTTGAAGGGGGGGCGCAACGCTTTACATTGCAGCGAAGTGTTCTTAGACGCTATCTGTCCAGTGCAGATATTTTTGTACAGTTTTTCCCCCCCACTTGCAAATAAGATAAGCTTTAATGGTACTGTATACAAAACTGAATATTTTACCTTTTAAAGAAGAATAGGCAATTCTAGTAAATTTGAATATGTTAAGATTGAAAATTTTAAATCATCCACCATTTTCAAGGGCTCAGAACTTAACATACAAGAAGCTGTGAGATAGCCAGCTGGTTAGAATGTGGTGGTTTCTCAACCACTCATTTTTTGTGACATGGCAATCTCATGGCCAGTGGACGAGTAACATCTACCTTTATATTAACCAATAACTGCACATTTTCCACTCTCCAAGCTGAAAATTTTTGCAGTGTTACATATTTTTGTATTTGTCAAAGATATCACCAGTATAGCTTTCCAAAGAAGATGGTGGGTGATGTAACATTTTCATAATCTATGCATAAGAACACAGTGATTTGCCCAACTTCACACTGATGAGAAAATCAGTGTTGTACCACGTATACTGTCAAGCATCACATGAACAATTTCTGTGATTTATTTCTTTTGACATGCTTAACATATTTTTACAATTATTCTGTTAGCTTCTCATACAACATTGAGATCTCGGAACAGTTTAGGTCAAAAGGAGTCACAAGTCCATTTAGTTGTGTAATTATTATAGAAATATTATAGTACTGTAGGGATTAAAATAAACTGTCTTAAGTTGTAAGAATGAAAAGAGCAAGTCTCTCTGTACCAAGTTTTATTGGCCACTACACATTGCAAGGAAGGAACTGCCATGTCACTGTCTATACCGCAGTGAATCATATTTAATTTTGATGATACTTGCTGTAATTATATGTAACAGTATTGGATTTTGAGTTTATTGCAGTGGTGACCATGAAGAGTAGTATGTTCTGGAATGTGACACCGTGTAGTCTGGTAGATGTCTACTTTCAGGGTAGAAGAGTAAGCCAGGCAAGAAGCAGAGCTCTTCTTGGTTTATTTATTTTTGACCCTGAAGATGAAGGCACTATGTTCCTCCAAAACACTGGCAAACCTGTACCATACTACACGGTGTCACATCCTGGAAGGTACTACTCTGCATATGTAATCATGCATACACCATGACACACATTCAGAATGTTAATTCTGACTGTATTCATACCCTATTATGAGTAAAATTGCTGTTGTTTTAATTGATAACATCCATAAATATATGTGAGGTTTGGGGTGCTCATGGCAGTGAATATGGAGATTATGATCATCGGAATAGTGTGGTATATAAAATGTAAAAAAAAGTTGTAACTGTGCTTAACTGATCATGCACTACTCCATGAAGGCATATGGGGGGTAGATGTATAGATCCACATTTTCCTGGCCTCAGCAGTACCTGGAGGTGAGTGGTGAGCTTCACGCCCTGACCGCTTTACCCCCGGGGAAAGAGCCCCCAGTACCCATTGAATAGGAGGTTTGATGGACTCCCAGAGGCGGTGTGGACGAGGTGGAGAAGAGAAAATTCTTCACCCTACCGGTTCTTGAACTCCAACTCCTCATTCATCCAGCCCGTAATCAGTCGCTATACTGACGTATGATACCCAGGCTCATAGTTTGGTATGTAGGTACCAACATATACTATGTCAGGGCAGCTGTAACTTGGACTCAGTCTGTCAGAAAGCCAATGGGAAATGGCAGGGGATATTTTCATTCTGTCATCTTTTGACAAAGTTCAGAGTTTCTACACTGAGACCAATTTCTCCTTCATAAGATACAGTAAAAGGTAAAAGTAAAGTTATCCCTCTAACGGGCCGTGAAGGCCCATAGGGTTGTGAGACATAGAGGCTCCCACATTTTTTTTTCTAGATATTTGACTCACTGATGGCGGTAAGGTTGTCAGCCTTATGCACCAGCCATCCTTTGCCCCCAGGAAGATTCCTGGTACTCATTTCTCTCAAAGGCTTAGTCGACCCCAGGGTCATATTGCGACTGGAAGATTAGGTCAACTGAAAAAAATCACATCATGACTCGAACTCACGACCTTCTGGCTTGTAGCATAGTGCCTCAACCAACTATGCTACCATGTGCCCTCATAAGATACAGTATTAAAATTAATGTAATATATTTGCATATTCTAATAGACCATGTGTGATGATGTCACATGAGATGCCAAAGAATGTACTGTGATCAAGATCTAAGTTAACACATTGTACTTATGGATCTTATACCTGATGATTTCGGTTAACATTATGGAGGCTTTTGCACTCATCATCATCATCATCATCATCATCATAACCCCCCCATTCACTGCCATGCCCCAGTACTGGAATTTCCATGAAAACTTATTTGAAAGGGAAATGGAACAAAACATGTGAAAAACAACTGACAATTGTGGTATGTTTTGATCCTTTTGAACTTCAAAAAGATACTCTTACTGTCCTTGTGCGTAACACCTGTAGGAGAAAATTATGTACCCCAGTGGCAACTGACATGTAGTGAAAATCATCCTTCAAGAGATGAGATTGGCAGTGAGTGTTAATTTCTGTAAAAAGAGCCATTTTGGGCCTTTAAGGAAATACTCAGAATCTTATTGAGACACAAATTCATAGGTAGAGGGGCAAAATATGAATTTCAGTTTCCATTCACTCTGGACATCATTGAGCCAAGATTACAAATATTCATGCCGTACAGGACCTCATGGCATAAACTGAGACATGTTTCATACTTTTTGCCACATCACATTACTTCCCACACTTTGAATTTGTGTTCCAGTATGGCCTTAATATTGTTTTAAGTTGCTAGACATGAAATTGCTGCCACAAATACGTGCACTTTTGAACAATTATATCTCAGAAATGAATATGGCTTAAGTGTGAAACATAGTACATCAGACATTTTCCCCATTGCATTTACCAGTTTAACAGATGTTCCATGTGATGTCCCTGTGTCATGAAGACAGTGTCCCCCTTTATCCTAATCTAATGGCAATAGGTACAAGAATTATTTACCATTTGTCAGGGGGGGGGGGCTGATACACTTGATCCTTGATGTAGCCCCCACAGGAAATGGTCAGAGAGGTAAGAGAAGGACCCAGACAAAGGGGGGCCACTTAACAAATCCATGCATTGGGGGAAGGTCTGTATCATGCTCATATTCCTGGGATACATGGGGTTTCTGCTCCCTCTATTCCTTCACTTTGCCACTGATGTGGAACATGGCCTCATCACTAGCTCATATCAAACTGATTGTTCAAAAGTTGACCAGATTTAGAGAGACCCTGTATACTCATGTTAAAAGAGAAACAATGTGTACACTGTATCCTCACTGCACCCTACATGAAGTAAGCATGTCTGTTGTGCAACATGCATTCTAGTCATTACAGGCCTCTGTCTGTATCCACTTGTTTGGAAAATCGTCTTAACAAGAGTGTCTATGGAACATTAGTGTATAAGTTGCTACACAAGAACAGACACCTGTATATTACAGGAAAAAACTCAGTTGCTTGCAACATGTGATGATGGCCAATTTGACAGGATCAAATCATATGCTGCAATAATTGCTGAATTCTGTTATTTTTAAGATAATAAATATGACTTGGTTTAATAAACAGTACTTAATTGCTTATATGTAACTGTAATTAGAAGTTTTAATCTAAACAAGCAAGGATGTAGTTTTTTGTCACTTCAAGGAGTGGCGGGACATTGATTCCCTTGGTACTGTGGCCTCAACGAGCCCATTGTACAAGCCCCACATGCATTACCCACACCATGGTGAGAAGTGATTGACCACCTCAGCTATGATACTGCCAATGAAAGGTATGTTTAAACCACAACTTGTTCTAAGGGATCCCCCCATACCTGCAGTGTTGTTACTAGCCAGTAGTGTACTATGTCTCTACATCTGAATCCCTGCCTCTGTGGGGGGGGGGGACAAATTCATCCGCCCTAGGAAGTGACTGTTTGAAAGCAGTGGTGCACCTACAGCTGTAAAACTGTAATACTGCTACACTAACTGATTATTAAACCACTCACTACTTGCCCCTGTACAGGGATTTTATGTACCGGACCAGCCCTTTTTCTATGAAAACTTCCTGTTTTTGAAACTAAAATGAAAAATATCTGACAATTGCTGTATGCTGACTCTTTAAAGCTTTCACAAGCTACACATAAATTTACCTCCATTTGAACAACAACAGAAAATTAATTGAAAATGGCATTTCCCTATACAATGGGAAGAGGCCATCACTTGACAGAATCAGCGCTGCCTCTGGCACCTGTCACGTGACAGGATTGTGTTAATTATAATCCTCTATTTAAATGCCATGATGGTAGCTCAAAAACGTCTGTTTTTGTTCCTGGTCTTTTCTATGTCTTACTCATAGATGACTCACTCACTCATGGAGCTGAACCATTCTTGAGAAACTGCCAATTGTGCAGCTACTCAAGAACTTCCCAGCATTTTATGGAACCCGAAGGTTCATTACTGTGTTCACAAGAGCCCTCCACTGGTACCTATACTGAGCCAGACCAATCCAATCCATACCATCCCATCCTATCTCTCTAAGATCCATTTTAATATTGTTCACCCATAGATGACAGGGAAAAATAATTTTAAGCGAGCTTTTACAAGCAATTGTGTTGCACTGATAGTCTCCGATAACTTACACAAGTTTCAAGTAACCATGTATGTCCACAACAGTCTGCCACTGAGTAAGTTTGCTTGA